ACACCAGACTTTTCTTCCCAGCTCCCAGAAACCAGCAGTGGCTGGAACTTAAGCTCTTTGTTTTCCTGCTCTTGTTAAACAAATAAATGTTTTAGTACAGCAGCCAAAAACAAACAGCAAACTGTTAAGGAGGTGAGCTGCACTCAGACTTTGCAGTTTGAGCCACAGTAGGTGGATCATTGTAAACATTTTGTAAAAGGCGTGCATTTCTGTGGTGCTCCTAACGGAGTTTAGAGCTTGCAGTGAAGAGGCTCAAAGGCTAAGCATAGACATCTGCTTCTGTTTTTTTTTTGGTCTTCCAGGCCTGTTGAATCCCATGAAGAGGGAGCTGCTGTTGAGGCTTCAGTCCGAGATCGAGAATGTTACAGACTCCTGGCTCAGCACTGCGCTCAAGTCTCTGCTGCTCATCCAGTCCAGGTTTGAGCACCTCAGGTTATCGTTTTAGCTCGTAGGTAGTATGTCGTAGATTAGTCACTCCTTGTTAAAATATTTTGTTTGCATCTTTGAGATTCACCCTTAACCCTGAGTTATTGTAGGGTCTTTATCTTACAATTTAAACCGCCTTGTGGCAACTGTTGTTGTGATTTGGTGCTGTATAAATCAAATCAAGTACAGTTGAATTGGATGATGATGTTATAAATCTGTGTGTGTGTGACACCCACCAACAGGGGGAAGTGTATGAACGTGTTGGTCACCACGACTCAGCTGGTTCCAGCTCTGGCCAAAGTGCTGCTCTACGGCCTGGGAGACGTCTTCCCCATCGAAAACATCTACAGTGCCACAAAAATAGGTACGTATGCAACCCGATTACTCTGTGTCAAATTTTAAAAATAAAAAAGATCTGTTTATATCTTTATGCGATTCTTTATTTTCCTTTTCCCTGCGGTTTCCTGTCATGTAGGAAAAGAGAGCTGCTTTGAGAGGATCGTCTCTCGCTTTGGGAAAAAAGTGACTTATGTGGTGATCGGTGACGGCCGAGATGAGGAATTTGCAGCAAAACAGGTAAAACTCAATTTTTGCCTTTTTTTTTTCTTAAACTATTTCATTTCAAATTGGATGATCTGCAGCATTTTATGATTTTTTTTTTTGACCCATTTTAATGGAACAATTCGATTGTGTTTTTGTGTGGACAGGCAGAATTTCAGATTTTTAGGAAAAAAGATGCAGGTACACGTTCCACATGGTATTTGTTATCATTTTTCTTCCTGATCACGAGATCATGTACCAGGAAAGAGAAACAAGGCATGGTTTACTAGGAGAATATGATCCTGGATGACATTGACTTGAACAGATATATACAGTGTGGCATGAAAGAAGATGGTTTATAATCAATAAACAAAAAAGATAAATTAGCCATTTTTCCACCTGCTGAAGTTACTGTTTAGACTGACTTGAATCTTCAGAGCAGGTTCATCCTAGATCCTCTCTGAGAAAGTACCTGAATGGTACGAAGTTAACCTGTCAGGAAAAAACATATAAGATGAAAAGGACAGGGGAAGCTGGTTGACAACGAGTGAACTTTCAAAATAAGAGCCAGGAAGTTGTGTTTTTTTTTTCTATGTATTTTTAAGAAGTGATTATAAATGCAGGGATTTTCTTGCATGAAAACACTAAAACAGGAAATGAAAACACGAACCATATGTATGTTGCCATATGTAGACGGGAGACCCACAAACATAATGTCTCACATGGACAAAACACGGCAAGGCTGTGCTCTTTACAATTACACACTCTGCTTTCTTGTGCCTAATTTTTTGTCTCCCTCCCTCTGCAGCACAACATGCCTTTCTGGCGGATCTCCAGTCACGGCGACCTCGTGTCCCTTCACCAAGCGCTGGAACTGGACTTCTTGTAACGAGGATGCTGTTGAATGTTGTGCACTCAAAGGGAAAAATGTTGTTGTCGTACTGGTGACTTGTGGAGTGAAACTGTGTGTGTGGAAAAATTCTCCACAAGCCCAACAATCCACACTCACCTGTTAGAAATCTGCTCTCGCTGTCCGACGACTTGCAACTCGCTGTGTGTTGGTGAACGTTTTGAGGCGGACTTTGGGACGGAGCCGCCTGCGAGAAACAAACTGGACGCGTCAGTCATCAGAAGTAAGGTTCCTCTCGCCCAGCACCCCCTCCTCTACGGCAGCTAAGCTCACTGCAGCTGAAACTGGCACTGATTTGGACATGGAAGGGATGACTTCTATTATCCAGCTTCTTCACGGTTTTTGGCTTTTGTTTTCACATAAACATCCAAATGTCCTGCAGCGAACATCATCTCTCAACTCTCACTGAGTTTAAACGGCTAAAGAGACGTTGTTTGTAGGTGGCTTTGTCTATGGAGGTTGTCATAGCTTTTTATTTTGAAAAATCTCTTTCCGGGGTGACTTGAAAGCATCATTTTGCCTTTATGTTTTTCATTATGTTCCTGACAGTCATCAAGTATCAATTAATCCCACTTTTATGTATTACCTCTCATGTAGCCAGACCGTTATTAAACAAAAGGTACTCAGTGATGGAGGGCAGCAGGGGCCATTAATCTCTGACTGTCACGACAAGACCAAACCACACCATCAGTCAGCACCATCAGTTCTGACCTCTCCACTGTGTGTGATCCGTGGTCACCGAGCATGTGCTAAGGATAAGAGATGCAAACTGCAGGAAGTGGTAATAAGTGTGGGAAAAAATGCACAGAGCATCATCAGTTTCATGGATGACTGAGCAGAAGGATCGTAATTTTATTATTATTATTTTTCCCCCATTGTGTGGTTTTCAGACTCGTGGCTTCATTTGATGTTTTATAAGGCAGGAAAACAAATATGTGACTTAACAGAATACTGCAAAAATAAGTAATAAAAGTTTAATAAATGATAAAGAATAAATATTATAATAGCCTCCAATTACACTCCAGGGCTGGACTACATACGTAGAACTACATCCACGTGAGACTTAAATATCTGACGTTAGTGTAGTTATCCTTTTTCCTCTTGTGGCTGTAAAGAGCTTCTTTAACTGAAGCTGAAAGCTGAAGTTTTGTCATGACTGGTGATGTTTTGAATATATTTGGACTTGAAAACATTTTTTCCACCCTATGCCAATGATAATCAACACTCTTTGTGTCCTTTGGGCTCCTCAGAGCACAGTCCCAAGTGTCCTTGAATTCCCAGAAGAGAGGTGGATTGACAAATCTGTAACCAGAACGAAACCGTGATTCAAAGGTCCGCACTATCATATTCATTTCACTGTGATATGGATCTGTTCATGCCTGGTTAAAGTGTGCTGGTTTGGTCTTTCCAAAATTGTTCCAGTACAAGTGAACACCCAATTAATGGGAGTTTATTTTTTGCTCATAAGCTAATCACAAAGTAGAAGTCTTCTTTTCACTTCCCTCCTATTTAAAGAAAAACTGAGCCCATCTGTGGTTGTAGAGAAATGTTACACAGCTGAAGATCATGTAGCGTTCTTATTTCTTTGATGACCCAAGTAACCAAGTCACAGCCTGATCCACATTTTCAGAGTGTTTGAGTAGGAAAATATGAGCATCCATGGCTGGATTACTGAGACGACACAGCAGGGACACATGAGACTAAACCAGACGCTTTCATACATGTGCCGTAGCCCTGAAATGTTTTTGACGTTTCCTTGTCTGATTCGGTCCATTGGGGTCAAAAATCTGCACCTCTCTAAAACAAATACACGAGAACAGAGAAGCTTTGTTTGCTCTGCTTTCTGCACGCAAACTTAAACCGAACATATTCCCACAAATGAGAACACGTCTGAAGCAGATTACTTCCTGGTGTGCAGGGAGGACATAGTCCAGGGTTCATGTGTAAACTTGATGGCTGAGTTTCTCACACATGGATTAATCAAAGTCCTCGATCATGAAACTTTGTTCTTCAGAGATCATCACAGTGAGTTATTCTTATAATCTGGGAAACTTGCTGACTTTCAGATGAAAGCATAAAATATTCTGGAGTGTTGTTTTTCTTTCATCGTTGTTGTTGTTTGTTGATTTTCTTTCTTCTTTTTTTTTCATAAAAGTATTTTTTCATTGTTTTTCAAAGTACCAGAAAACTTGCAGCTGAATATTTTTGGCTTTTTGAGGCTCTGTTAGTCTTATTGGAGTCGTAGATATGATGTGCATCAAATTACTAATTAGGAAGATGATTAATAATTAGATGCAGTCTTAATTTTGTCTGTGAATGTCAGAAAGTGGTACAGAAGGCAGTCTAAGACCCAGATATTATTATAACAAAGGGGGAAAAAAAGAAGTAAACGAGAAATGGCTTTACACACCTCCTCAGTTACTTTGAGTTATCGTCACTCAGCCTCACAACAACCCAAAGTCTTTCTAAATCATATAGGAGGGAATCAAAAATAAAGGATGACAGTGCAATAAACTTCTACTTTGCTCATTAACTGTATTTTGAGGGGTTTGTTTTGTTATGTAGACGGCGAGGAGCGCAGAGGGATGGACCTTCCCCAGTCTGAATGAGATTAAGACTGAACAATAACTGAGCCTGAAGAAGATTTTCACACACATGCAGCTTGACCGTTAAGAATGTGTATTTGTGTGTCGTTTTGTTTGTGTCCCGTGTGCATATTTATATTGTGCCTTTAACCATCATCTGTCTGCTTAATCTCAAAGGGAAATATCTTTTTATGTTTCATACACGTATCTCTGCATTGTTATTATCCAAAGTGTTATTTTACTTTATTTTTATCTCAATACTTTTTAAGTACTGTCGAGATTTTCTTTTGTTACTGAGTTTGACTTTTTTGACTTGATTGTTCTGTCTGCACTGCAACTGAAAGGTCT